AACAGTTTGAGCACTTTTGAAATTAAACCCTATTGTGATTGGTCGCATAACAATTGGCAAGTTGGGCCGTGCGTCTTAACGTGTTGATGGGTCAAAAGTTAAAAACACGTGAGGCCCATCAGAATCTATGGACTTGGAATGTCTGGGTATCTCGTAATAACAAAGAACGTGAAACGTAGGTAGGTGGAGGTTTTATTCCCAACTTGTGTTTGTGAACGAAATAAAAACTGTCTGGTTAAGAGTTAATCTCGTTATTTTTTATGCCTCGAGGAATATTAATTCTACTAGCGGCAGAAATGGTTTCGGAATGTAAGTGGTACGTTAGGATGATGATAATTTGTGGGAATGAAGATGCATATATGTTCCACATACCTTTTCCCAGCGTTAACGTTTTTTTTTTTTTTTGATACATTCCCAGCGTTAATGTTTATGCTCTAACCCAGCGTCCATAAATTCTTTACCCCGCCTCTATTTCCTACTGGGCAACCAACTTTTTTTCAAAGTCCAAAACTTTTCTGGGTCATTGACCAGGAAAGGAGTTCCTTTAAAAAAAAAAAAAAACTAAAAATCAAGCTCTTGGCCCTCATTCTTATCTCACGCTTTATGGTATTTGAGCTTGTCTTCGACACTTTTTTTTTTTTATTCTTTTGAGCAAAAGAGCTGGTCTTAGTTAGACTCGAGTTTTCAATTTTCATTTCACTTGAATAGTTGTCCACTGCTCTTTTTGTTTGTTCCAAAAAGCCTTTTGGGTTGACGCCGAATATTGATTTTGGAACAAAGCTAATCAACTTGGTTTGGATCGGGACGCATTGCTTCACTATTCAACTTGTACTCCTCCGGTCCTTAATATGACCCAATTCTTGAGTTGGTTTTGGTCTTAAATATAAGATCCATTTCTCATATTATCAATTTTCTCTAAATTACCCCTATAGACACTCCCTCAACCATAATCAATAGAAGAAGGAGATGAGGTATTAAAAAAGATAATTATGGTGTTTAGGAAAAATGTGTAACTTTTTATAATTAACTAACTTACCTAACTTTTTTTTTTTAAATGGGTCATATTGTATTTTTTTACCAAGTTTTAGATCCAGTGAAAAAGGTCATCCTCGTAAGGTGGTAAATTAATGTTTGATTTTTTTTAAAGAGATGTTCATATTTAGTACGTGATAATATTCGACCAGAATCACCCCAATAAAAAATATCTGTGCCAAACCAAAAAAACAAACTTGTATTTGCTTTTGAAAAAAACTTGTATTGGCGTTCTCTTTAGAATCTGAAACATTCTAATGGAGCAAATTGAAAATCAAAATTGTTAAAAAGTGGAAGTTGACGGTCGATTTTGGGACAACTTGATTGCCTAGGCCAGATGAAATTAGCGTTTTCTGCTTTAGATTATTGCCACCGACACGACAGAGGAAAAGACAAAAAAAAAAAAAAAGGCCGCTACTAGCAACTGTGTCTCTCAACGCCGGCTCGCCATCGGCGTGTGATGGGGAGATGAAAGCTGTATTATTGGCAACGAGCAACAGCCCGTCATATTTAAACGGATAATAATAATAATAATAATAGCAATATGTGGACTATAGCATTACTTTGAATAATGAATGCAATATTTGGTTAGTGTCGAAATATTCTCGTTTGGGATTTCACGATAAAACAATACTGTAATGATTAATGCATATTCGTAAAAATTGAAGAATAGCTGATGAATCCATTATTTATATTTGCAGCTACGATTAGTTATGCGTTGTAGGAGTCGCAGGGTAGTTATGGGGTTTGATCAAAGCTAATTAATTAATATGGAGTGGCAGATATTTGTAGCAAGAAAGACAAAAACCAACTGCGGAGAGAATAGTCAACAAGTAGTTAAATGGAACACCGAACATGCCAAAGCCTCAGAAACCATTGTTATGACAGGATGATTAAATTAAATAAACCTTTGTTAAAAACAAACCTTTTTTTCTGGGAGGAGTTAACCGACACAGGGGAAATAAAGCAACATCAGCGTTACAGTACACATATATGATGTGTGTGTGTATTTATGTATGCATATATGTAACCAGCTCAGTTGTGCTGGAGACACACACGTGTGTATAATTCTCCGGATAGAAATCCTCAGCCTAGTATTGCAAATATTGTCAATCAAAATAATATTTTACAACAATATATCTGATTTGATACCTACAAGCCCTGTTCATTACGTGTGAAGATATTTGAACAAATCTTTCATTAATTACTAATTATATATCAGATTCTAAATTTGTTTGCCAGAAGGAAGATTTTACTAGAAAAATATTTGTGAGATTGAATTAAGATGTGTTTTTTTGCCAACTTAAGATATTTTATCGGAAGAATCCCAATAAAATCTCACCGAAATACTTAAACTCAAATTAAGGCTTACGCTTTTAATAAATTCCTAATAAGGACATGAGGTTTAATTTAGGATTTTTGAATGTTGTCAAATGACTAAATTAATGGGAAATGACCTTTTCTTTGGGGGAAAAAATTAACTTAATAGACTTTGTTTAAAATAATTAACTTAAGACATGAGTGCTTGATTTTTTTTTTAACTAATCATTACATTCCTACTCATTTGACGGACTAAGCAGGCAATTAAAATTTCGAACCACTGAAAAATCAAATTCAAAATGAACTTGACTTCCACACACGAAAGTAATTAGTTGAAGAAGTAGTTCATCATGCTCTGTGATTCCACATTTTATTACCATACTCGTGACCGAGACATTACAATATAAAATACTCTCTTTCTTCTGTAAACGAGAGCTGGGTGAGAATTTACTTTGATTAAGTATCCACTCTCAATTTATAATTTTTGTTGATCAAACTATCCATATTAACATGTCGAAAGGTTTTTTATTTCCACAATGGGCGATTCAAATGCAGATGGTTAAGGTTGAGGATGATGAATTGAGGAAAAAAAATAACATGATTTTTAATAAACAATTAGCCTGATTAATTTTCCTAATCTCAACAGATTATTTGTTTAGCTTTTATATATTGGAATAACAAATAAAATATTTAGGATGCACATGTTTCCAGAATTTTGCATGCAAATAGTACTTTATTATGATACGTACATAAAGAGACCGTTCAGCTTTATTTCGCTTGAAATTAACTAAAAAAAACATTTATAAGATATTTTTTTTATTTTAAATATAAAATATATTTTGTATGTAATTCATATTATAAAATATAAAACGTATTTTATAGTACATTTTGTTATAAAATAACGCTATTTTTTTTTTTTAATGCAGCATCTGGAATAATGATGTGATGCCGTAATCTCCCTGAGACAGTGAAGTACGAAACATGGATAAATTTGAAGCAGGCAGGACTGTTATTTAAGATGCGAGAGACTATGTTGGACGTAAGACTATAGTTATCTAAACAAGAAGGGAAGCATCTCAAATAGCAAGAGGCCAATTACTACATAGCAGTAACTGGCCAACCACGCCTAGTTAATTACGTGTAAGCTCACAATTATGTGCTGGAAAACATTTTCTCCTTCTTCTTGGCGGCAGTATTAATACCTGGGAATACAAAACCTACGCCACCCACGTACGTAAACCACGAATTTTTCTTTTATCAATATTTAAATCGTCCTTCAAGATTTTGAGATTTTGTGTGTGTGTGTGTGTTCTAACAATTCAAAGCCCCCACTTCACTTTTTGCTACTTTAAAGCGTGTAACTCACAGCTTCCTCCTTGATAAAAATTTAAAAATCTGAGTTGCCAAGAAGACACCATGAAGCTTGGGATTATTTATGCGAGAAAATTATGGAAACTCAAAACTCCTTTCGGCACCATCTATGTTCTCATCCACTTGCATGTGTGTAGATACTAACAAATAATTAAACACGCAAAGTTGATATTTTTCATATTCTATAATTAAAATTTCGGAAATTTGTCATGCTCTTATTTACTTTAGAGATTTCTTTGATCCTGAAAGTATACAAGTCATACTGTTTTGTAACGTAATTTATGAGATAACACCCGCAATTCTGTATGTAGTATGTGTGATGAAATTACTGGTAGTTCATTATTTGAAGAGCACTTTATATTTGATTTGAATATAAAAGGATATCAAATGAAAAATACTACTTATCCAATCCTTAATATATGACTTAATTATTAAGTTAATTTTGATCATAAATATAAGAGCTATTTATCATATTTATCAATTTTTTTAAATTACCCCTATAGTTACTTTTTCAACCATAATCAAGTAAGTAAAGGAGAAAGGATATTAGGAAAGACGATCACGGTGTTTTAGAAAAAGTATGTGATAATTTTTATAATTAATTAAGTTACCTAACTTTCTTAATATAATCAAATTAGTTAAATAAATATTATCTTAACAACTGGAGGAGTATAAGATAATATTATGAGGCTGGAAAATAGAAGGCGAGCTTTGATTAATTTTTAATTAGGGAAAACGGGAAATGAATAGAATATCGATGATGGAAAGTCAAAAGAGACGGACCAAACCGACGGGGTTGGTCCAAGTGGTAAGCTGCTTGGTATTGCTTAAGTGAGGTCTCGAATTCGAGCCTCAGCGTATGTAGAAATTCTTGTTGGGAGACTTACCCACCACAGCTAGGTGCGTTACGCGGATCGGATCTAGATATAGTCAGAGTAAAACCCCGTAAACTGGGTGGGCAACAAAAAAAAAAAGAGAGAGAGACGGACCGAGCATGTGAATAGTGAATGGGAGGGGCAACCGACGGGCGGCGGGGACGACACACTGGATTTTAGACTCTTCCAACTCAGCTAGCCACGTGTTCTTCCTTGGATGGCGCACTACGCCTAACCCTTTTATTTCTTTATTTATCTCACAACAATATAAAAGATAAAATTAAACGGGTCTATAGTATGAACCGGACCCGAACCCGACCCACCAACACCTCCTTCTCAGGCCTCGCCCACGTTTTCCTGTTCCTCGTTCATTCTTCACACTCCATGGGGCGCTTCAATCGCCAGTTCCAGAGCTCTTTTGCCTCCTGACCTTTCGCTTTCTCTCGTTCCTCCGCCTCATTCACCTTCACTTTTCAGCAGCTGCCTCCGACTTCCTCCGTGCTTTCTTTCTCTCCAGCTTCTACCCACGGTTCCCCCTGCGAGTTCTGCTTCTGCATTCTTCCTCAATTTATACTGATCCTTCAGATTTTTCCTTTGAATCCCTTATCTTCTAGGTTTTTCGAGTTGATCCTTTCGGATCTTTATTTGATATATCTTTTCAATCTTCAAAATTTTTTTTGGATGTTCGGGTTCGATCCCTGTCCCGGATTAGCTTTTTCACGAGTCTAGTATGTTATTCGAGTTGGGCTAGTTATGGATGACTCGTTAGTTCGGTAATTTGTTCGTTGATTAGTTGATGGCGTCGTTCCGACGGACTTTGTCGCCGGCGCACCACGATCGGCAGTACCAAAACGGTGTTGGCTCGTTTTCAGTTTCCTCTCCTCATCACAAGTTTGCTCCTAGTGCCAAGTATGCTTCGCCATTACCAGTGTTGTTTGCGTACGTAACTAGATTGCGGAGATTTCTTGCCGGGTTTGTTATGCGGCGGTATGCTCGGAAGGGGCAGTGGAGAAGAGCATTGTTTAGCTGTTTGATCTTTTTCTTCTTAGGTTTCCTGTGGGGTATGTTTCCTATCGGTCACGTTGTCGATGACATTCGCCGTCAGGATGTCTCATTTGAGATCAAGCCGCCTCGCGCAAATGCAGAACTAGTCCCTGAGGATCGTGCTTTGAAGCGTGATGAGGCTTTTGTGGTTAATCCAGTGAGTTTGAGTGTCGATAAGCATATTGCTGCCGATGGTACGGTCGATTTTGTGCCGAGGAAGCAACTGATTGTAGTGACTCCCACATATAATCGGGCGCTTCAGGCGTATTTTTTAAACAGGTTGGCTCACGTGCTCAGGCTCGTACCTCCGCCAGTTCTGTGGATTGTAGTGGAAATGAATTCAGCTTCTATGGAAACTGCTGAAATACTGAGGAAGACTGGTGTGATGTATAGGCATTTAGTCTGCACAAAGAACTCCACAAGTGTGAAGGACAGAGGAGTTCATCAAAGGAATACGGCGTTGGAGCACATTGAGCGCCATAGACTAGATGGGATTGTCTACTTCGCAGATGACGATAACATATATTCCCTCGAGTTGTTTGAGACCTTGAGAGACATAAGGTATTTCGACCTTGCCATCAACCTTTGATCTTATCACACTTCTTCACTATTCATGGCATAAACAATGCGGCTTGAGATTGATTTTGTGTTTTATAATGAATCATAATTTGTATTACAGCATTAGTATATCTAGATTTGATCCCTATTGCGATTGTTTGTAGGTTTCATTGTTGCAATTATACGACATAATTTGCATCTCGTTTGTTGGGCTTGTGCATGTCATAAGTTACCGTTATTAAAAAGGATTGCCACTGGTTTTTTCGGTTGTACCGTTTGTATGTTCTCTCTTTATGTGTAGGGAGATCTCAGTACGTACTTGAATATTACGTACTTGAAAATCTCAGTGTGAAGTATGTCATGTTTGGTCCCTTACTTTTTCCTTAAATTTACTTTTTGAATTTCATGTTAATATTTGTAATTGTAATGCTTTGTCCTTTGGCATGTCTATAAATGAGATTACAATAAGTCGTTTATATGTGACTAAATTTTTTTGTCTGGTAACAAAGCAGTTAGCACTTGCTGTCGGATTAGTGGTTTCTCAAAGGAACGACTATCTGTTTGTTCAATTTCGTTACAAGTTTTGAGGTGTTTTAGCCTATCATTTATATCAAGATATGTTTGTAAATTGTAATTTGATCCGAGTATGCTTTTTGGTTCAAAGAATTTTCCTCATGCCACCATGTTTTATGAAATAATGTGATCCCCTACCACTGAAAAAAAATATGATTTCATTTAGTTTTTGACTTCCGTTGATTGAGAAAGAGAATTATATTTCGTCTTGGCATACATTTTCTTTATGATTAAATGACTCAAAAAGAGTCTGTACTTCTTATAGCTCTCCTGCCTAATTAATTGCCTATGAAAATATAAGCATTATGTTTTTTTTTTTTACTGCCTCTGTCAATGAACTCTTGGTGTTTTTTCCTATTGTTATGTAAGGTTTGCTCCCAATTATACATTTATAATGGCTTATTCTAATGTCAAACTAATTTTATAGACGCTTCGGTACTTGGCCTGTTGCCATGCTTGCACAAAGCAAAAACAAGGCCATCTTGGAGGGTCCAGTCTGCAATGCAAGTCAAGTGATTGGTTGGCATACAAATGAGAAAAGTAAAAGAGTTCGTAGATTTCATGTTGATATGTCAGGATTTGCTTTTAACAGCACAATCTTATGGGATTCTAGAAGATGGAAGCGCCCTACATCAAATCCTATTCGCCAATTAGACACAGTGAAAGAGGGTTTTCAAGTATGCTTTCAAGCTGTAGTCTTTACTCGGCCCCTCCATTTAACTAATTCAGATGTCCTTTTGCTGTAACATTTAATATTTACTGCTACTATTATTATAATCCGTGAACTGAACTTTTTAGTTTTTGCAGGAGACCACTTTTATAAAACAATTGGTGGAAGATGAGAGTCAAATGCAAGGTTCACCTACTGGTTGTTCCAAAATTATGAATTGGCATCTCCATTTGGATGCTCGTAATACAAATTATCCTAAGGGTTGGCTACTACAGAAAAACCTAGATGCTGTCATCCCTGTGAAGTAATCCCTCGGGCATTCTTGTGAGCATTCAGTAGGTATGTTTTAATTATTTTCGTTAAGTAGCATATGGAAGATTGTCACTTTCCACGCCACGGTGTTTCTGAACGCATCTCATTGTTTCTTCTATCCATGAGTTTTAGAAGCACATTGACTTGACATTCATATAGTCCAAAAATGTTTGTTGATTCATGTCTGTTAGCCTTTTAGAGGGATCTAAAATACCCTTGCTTCGTCTTCTTTTTTTAATTTTGACAGTTTACCCATAATTCATGTCGGCACATCTCTGGATAGATGCTACCTCAGGTTTAGACCAGTGGGACTGCTGCATTTTGTTCCCTGGCAAAGATAGAGACAGCTTACTTTGTTTCCGGAACAGAACAACACTCACTTTTAAAATCAAATTTTGTTCTTGTAAAGAATGTTATTATTATTTCATCGATAGAGGAAAGAAAAGGTTCCCCAGAGCAAGGAAGGGGAAGTATTGATCAAGTTGCATCAGTGTCCATTCGGTGTGTTGGATGGAGCTACTGGGGCCAAACTTGATGTTTGACAAAACTGTTTCTAACTTACGGCTTGTATCAAGATTAGCGAGGGTTACTTCTCAAATATAGTTTCGATCGTCTCCTCCCCATTCTCTTTTTTATCCCAGTGTATAAAGGTTTCGGAATTATTGCGAAGTTGCTCTGCTTCCGTTGTTTTGATGAGTTTCCCTGGTTGGCGTGCCGGGACATAATATATATATATATATATATATATTATCTTCACCTGTCATATGTAATGTAACTGCAGTGATGATTATCATCACACAACCATTTAACCTTCTCCGTGAAAAGAAACACCAGTAATGGTAATGACGACGACCTTGAGCCACAACTGTGTTTGATCGAGCCCCACTTTCTTGGAGCGAGATGGCTTGTGCACAATTATCCATCCCATTTACTCTGTCCTTGATATCTAATTAGAGAGTTAATAGAAACCTTATGTATAATACGTACATATTAATCTTCGGTCGCAAGAAAAAAATCACATTAATTTTTTCCCAAATTTACTAATATTTTTTCCAAAATAGAAGAAAGAGAATTAAAAAACAATACTTAAAATATTTTTCAAAAAAATATCATATTCACTAATTTAACTAATTTCTTTAGTTTATTAAAACCAAGTCTTAAAAATTAGAGGAAGTTTTAATACTGAAAAAAATGCAGAAATCCCAGTGAGAGGACAGACATAAAAAGAATGAGGGGGTTAACAGGATTTTTTTTCCAGGGGGGGGGTTGTTTGGGGTTAAATACAAATACATCGGACAGCCGTCATTGGTGAGTTCTCTACTTATCAGCATTACGACATCCTTCGAGGAATGAATGGACTGACCAGGAAAAAATAACCGGCACTCCGGCTGGACGAGATACGCTACTAGCCGGTCATTCATTGGCTTCCAGGAAGGAGGCATCAAAATTGAATGAATATATTACAAGAAATGAGATAGAACCATAAAAATTACCAATTATACATTTCCTCGAGCAGCCTAGGCGAAATTGCCGGAGCACTGGAATGGGGCTCCAGAGGTAACTTCTCGGCATTGTTGTCCCCAGAGTAGCACGGCCTTCTCGACTCTGGAAAGAAGGGCCCCGTGCCAGTGATCAGTCACTGTATCCACTGCTCTTATTTATCTTGGGACCGCTGCAAAACCTGAGAAAGTGACCAATCTCGTCTATGCTCTACGGTTGATTCAGCTGAGGCAACTAATAAAATTCCTGTCAGTCTCTCGACTATCATGTCGAAGTTGCTCCGTGAACAGAAGAACTTGTGTCAGAGGGGTGCAACGAGGTCGGCGGATGTTGCTGCATTTGTGTTTCATTTGCAAGACCAAGCACAACTAATGTTGATCTGTACATGTGAACAGGAGTTAAATTCTCAAACAATGCCATGATTCTAAGACTAAAATATCAATTTTGATAGCAGAATCAAATATCTCCTTGATCCCTCAGCAGTTAATACACATATTTTGTGCCTCGGTTGGGAAAACAAAAACATGACATCCACTGCGGCAATAAGGTTTAAGTGGGTATTTGCTGTTACAAACGACAATGATCCTTATTTCACCAAAAAAAAAAAAAAAGCCAATGATTATCCCGTACAATTAGCAGGATTTTCACCTTTGAAATTGAGCAAACCACGAAGTATAAACGTGTTCTGTTTCATAGCATAAAATGCAGAAATGGGCAAAAATAGATTGACAAACGTTAATGTCCTCGATCGAGAGTATCCATATGTAATTATGAAATAGATGGGGTGAGCATTTGCAGGTAAATCTTTAAAAGCTCATCATCTCAATTTCAAAATGGTTTCAGGTGCTTGTACAAGTGTTGAATTACGGACAACCTATCCCCCAACCTTTCCTTCCCACAGCCATATGTACAAAAGCTTACCTAGGTAGTGAAGATTTTACAGAGGGTTGACTGGCGTAAGAAGCAAGAGGACCTCTGAGACTTGCATGTTTGGTTAGAGCACTTTCCAGTTGCGGAGGCGGCAACTGCATCCAGAATGCAAAAACAAAGGTTGAATCCAAAGGACAATACATTAACAAGATGTTATGTAGGTGAACAATGAAATACCTGCAATAATACATGAAAAGAACGTGGCTGAGTCTGATATACACATTTTAAGAAACCAACCCAAAGTTTTGGCATCCGCCACACCTGCAATCAGTATGAAAGTAATCATTATCAATTAGTTGTTGAGGAGATAGTTAAATATGAGAAGCAGAGTTGATTGAGTTAAGCTTACCTGTTTACTAACAAGTTTTGATAATATCTCCATAACAAAATCAACCTACAAATAGAGCATAAATATTACACTTTTTAAGCAGACATCTTCGCTTATGTCACACCCGATAAAAGACTTCGGACACCAAAAAGCAATCTTCGGGGGGGGGGGGGGGAATCCTCCAAATTTGTAAAAGGGCAGGCCTTGTGGATTAACTGAAGAACTAATAATAATTAAACATATATTAAAAACAATACTGAAGTGGTTGAGCACGTCAACCAGAAAGCGTGAATCTAAATGTTTCTATAATAACTAAATAGGTTCAAAATAGATATAAAATTCTGCACAATAACTTCCCATAACTGAAAAGACTTCATCATAAATTGGAAAAAGATCCTCATTGAAAATTTGAAATATTTGATAAAGGGGGGAAAATAGAGTATCATTATGAGAGAAGGAAAAAGGGAGGTAGATCAATATAAGCGTGCCTTCTCAAGACATCACCTCTTTGGTAAGAAAGAAACATGAAGACTCAAGAAATACCACCACCGTTCTACTTTCACCTCTAGATTATTTAAATATCGGAAAAAATTATCCTTTCATGAAAAAGCCAGAAAATAGGACTAAGGTACGATGCTGGTCGAATCATTTGCTCCAAAATTGATGCGTACACAAGTTTATCGACCACAACACATTCACTAAAGAGCATTCAACTGCTACCATTACTTTTTTAACAGTTTAACACAAGAAATACAAAAACACTAGAAGCAATAGTCACCAAAAAAATGCAACAAGAGATTTACCAGTACTGGAAAAGCATCAACTGCCTGAATAACTGTTCTCATGAAAAGTAGAGGCAATGGAGTTTGATCAACCTGAAAATTTTGACAAGATTCAAATGATCACATTGTAATATATCTACTAATTACCGTTGACCAGATTGAATCTACTTACCATCTGGTTTAATGCTTTTGCCAAAACCTGTTGTGTGAACACAGTACGTTGCTCAAAACAGGCTGTGCAAGCATCAGTTATCTGATCATGCAAAAGAAACAGACAAAACTTGAGAAATCACCACTTACGATCATTGAACTTCAATTACCTAGTGCAATTTTGATGGGTTAGATGATAAGATTGACATAAAAAAGCAAGGATTATAGTAGTTTTATTGTTCGATTCATAAGGAAAACCAAACCAGAACTACATTATAGAACTCAGATTATGGTATAGGCAACACAATCTGGCTAGAGCTTCAATGCACAATATCTTGAAAAACTTGCAGTGACACGTAGGCAGCTAAAGAGACGCAGAATTTAAAGGATATTAACACATGTTGAGAGATATAAATCTCTTATTAGAAAATGGACCATTAAGAGAAAAAGTTGGTGCAAAGACTAAGAAAGAATAGCAAACTGTTTCACTGCCGCACAAAACTGAAGTTGAACTCATTGGGCTTTGGTGGAAGCAAAGGCTAACAATCTACACTCCTTAAGAATTTAAATAAAAAAAAAAAAAGGGATGAAAACAGGAGCTGGTCAAGTGTTGATTACAAGTACAAACAGCATCAAACTTAACAAACCCCGAAGACATGTACTATTAGAAGAACATGTCAATTGAAATTACAGTCCTCACCAACTCAAATGTATTCTTAGAAGAATATGTCAATTGACATTACAGTCCTCACCAACTCAAATACTCCTCTGATTCTATTTACAACTCACTTCTAACATATTTCTCACAGACTAAGAAAAACTTTAAACTTCATTAACTCTCATTTAAAATTTAATAACTTTTTAACTTTATCCCTATTTAATATACGTTATACTTCATATAAACAAAGTCAACACAATAATAAATGAAGGGTAAAATTGTACATCCACACAAAAAATTTCTCTCAGTGCCCTATAAATAGAACAAAAAAAATGTCTTTTCTCTTTGTCCTATAAATAGGATCAGAAGAGTACATTCTACATGACCTAACACCATAGAAACTGTCTACCAGGTTAAGAACCCATTAGTCGACACTTCTCATAACGAGTATTCAGTTTGAAGTTCGGATAATAAACCAAACACATTTTTTCTACAGGTTTGGAAAATCAAGTCTGATAAGAACATCGCACACAGAACGAGAAGTCATGGGAGGAGGGAGCGTCTCCCAGCCACTTCTTGTTGAACACACTTGGCTTTTGTCTCTAGAAGGGGAAAGGGCGGTTGTAGGTAAGTCATGGGGTGCAATAGTAATTTTACAATGACAGAAACATGCCTTCTTAAGTGGAATGCCATCTTTCTCAGGAACAATGCCATGGATCGCAACCAACACTTCTACAGGTGTCAACGCTGGACCTGTATGGGCAGAGCCCTGAAATAAACATTTGCAATTGTTAAGCAAATCTTAATATCTAGATGAAAATGATAAACAGCAAATGAAAAAAATTCGACAACATTGCTTTACAAACTTCAGATTTTGCTGAGACAAAATCCTACTGTATGTATTCAGAATACAACAACAGCCCCGAAGCGTGTAAGCAACTCAGAACAAGCATCAGAGACATAAAGTATGAACTTCAGGTTAAGCCTTTGCATATACCTGTAGTACATGAGCTAGTGCCATTTGGAACTTTTCCGGTGGAAGATCTACAAGCCGAGGGAATATTGGTAAAACCTGCTACCATAGAAGTTTAACACCGTAAATATTGACAACATGAAAACATAACCAGCTAATGCATCACAATAAAAATTGCCATATGAAGTTTAGGAAGATGATTGTCTGCAATGCAGATGAACCTAATGTTTCATATGTATGTTTTTATCAAAGAATCAGCTTTTTCATTTCCTTATTTAGGGTCTTTTATTCTGATAGGACCCAACCCAGTACTATAATAAAACAGATTACACACGAAGATACACTCAAAAGCTGAAAAGTCATTACATTCATAGAACAAATACTACTCTGTTACACATGAAAAGGAGGAGAACAGTTACAAATTCAGACTACTACACCACAGAAACAGAAACAATAAACAAAGACACAAAGCCACATACACAGTTAGGACACACTACAACCAACTATGCTTGCCAACTTTCTGAGAGGTTGGTTATCTCCTTCCCCAAGGGCCAAGTTCAACCCCAAATTCTCCACACTCCTGCTAAACCCAAAAGGGATGATTTATAGAACCCCAAAAAAGTGACTTTCCCACTCTCCAAAACAACCCTCTCATAGCCTTTGACCACAGTCGCCCTATAGCAACTCTATTTGTCCACTTCTTTCTCCAAAATGGGAAGAAAAAGCTCTGACCCACAATAGAATGTTTTCCCCTTTCATGTATTTTCCTAATTTTCTAAAAGTAATCCTAACATATTCCAGCTATAATGCAATTACTTTTCCATGTTCTGTGATCTCCACCCGATCCTTGGAGACTGGCTCTCTACGTCATTGAATTACAAAGGAATAAAGCATTAGACAGAGTAACAGTCTTACTATGGCCTTCTTTCATTTCCAGATGAATGCAGCTTGCTAAATGGTAGGTTATACACACACACGGAGAAAAGAAAAATAACAGGAAAGTTAATGAACTGACCTCATTTGTGGACAACGATGGAAGCAAGGGTACAAGAATAGAAACATCCTGCAGCACAGAACTTGTATAGATAAATATATATCCAAAAATGAAAGCACCAGAGGAGAATTCGCGAATGTTGTCAAGACATACCCTTAATTTAGTTTCGTATAAATGCTTAACAGTAGCTATCAGATCAGCAGATGGTGTCATTTCTTGAGTCAATATTTGCAACACCTACAAGGACAGAAACAACATCATTATCATTTATCTTGTCCTTCAAAAATCCACCTGCCCTTCTGCACAGTGAAATAAGCTATCCTCAATAGTGTGAGAGGAAGTTACCAGTGTCAGAAGATTTTCACTTCCTTGTGGTGGATCAGACATAATATGGAGAATTTTAGAATATGACTGTCCTAAGGCCCTCAAAAGAATAGGAATGTGACGATGAATGGCCTGCAAAATCAAACACTCATGACGAATGTTGAGTTTCAGGAAAAGATAACTGTTTAACATCCCATTATATTAAAATTAAATATAGACCAAAGACACATTTTTCAACCTCTGACTCTATTCTAAAACAATAATATCGAAAGCAAAATGAAACAATACCTGTTTCACAGTTTTTGGAGCACGGCCATAGGCATCAAAGATAGTCTGAAGAAGACTGGGTTTCTGCAGAATTTTAAATGATGTGTTGGAGTCAACAAAGCAGATGAAAAGTAGGCAGTTGCAGTCATTGTCAACTTGTAAACTGTATGCAAAGAAGTAAAACCAACCTTTATGCATAAAGCAAAAAACAATGAAATGAGACGTTGAGCTTCAGAAAATGACACAGATGCAACAGCAGGAACCACTGGTTTAGCAATTTGAGAGGGGTCATTTTCAGATGAGGTGGATACTGATACTTGCAATGGATCTGGTGTTTCCTGAATTCCAATCTGTAAAAATTTAAAGGCCATTAACTGTAGACAATTAATTCATTTAATTAAGAACATTGAAGAAAAAATCCCTCGAAAGTGATGGAAAATTTAGGATAACAGCACAGCCTGTTCTACTGTGTTACAGAAACCCATGCCCCATTAAAAAGTCCAGATGAATCAAAATGGGCGAAAATTGGTAGCAATCAGCTTGAAATCCAATAATTCATTACCATGAATTCTTCAAAGCAGCCATTTCAGCAGAGTGTAATCAGAAGAGACAACAAGGAGAAGGTTGAAAAGGAATGCAAGTGTCATACCTCTGCATCAGCTCCTTGCTCAATGGGTCCAGACTCAGAAAGACCAGTATCTAAGACTTTCTGGTCCACAGCAGACAGAAGCATTTGTTTAGCAAACTGTTCAACATCTTCTGATATGTAGCTGAGCTGATAGAGCTTGTTTGCCACCTGTCCAACACACCAAACAAGAAAGGCTTGTGATTACCAAATAAATTGATAGAGTCATACAGGTTTTATATGGCCATAAGATTATATACCAGCCGAATAGCTTTTGTTCGAATCTCATCTTGGGGATGGACCGCACACTGTCACATTGAATTGAATACATCAGTCCCATATAAGAAATATAAATTAACAGTGTTGGCCAGACAATTACTCCAAAAATATTAACAATACTTTCAATCCCTCATTACATTTTTCCTCACTATACACAGTTGCTACAATAGGTCAAATAGCAGAAGTATTAAGTGGAGCAACTCTAGCAGTCTTCATGGATTGCCTGAATATGTAAGTAAGGCTTGGGAATTGTCACTCCAGGAAAGCCCAAAGTTCATATTTTCAATTAACAAGAACAAGTCTGGTTTTTAATGGGCAGTATGGTTTTCGACTAGGGTTCTTTTCTCCAGTTTCGGGTTAGTTTCAAATAGGACAAGGTGCTGGTTTTCTGATCGAATCAGTCTGGTCTGGTTTTCTCAACATTGATGAAGGGTTCTTTTCTCCAGTTTCGGGTTAGTTTCAAATAGGACAAGGTGCTGGTTTTCTGATCGAATGAGTCTGGTCTGGTTTTCTCAACATTGATGAAAATTGTTATACCATGCATTAATCAAAATGGCCGGCAATGTGCTTGAAATTAAAATATCTCTAGCCTATACATGCATAAATAAGTTTAATAAACAAGAAAAGAAAAATTGGGAAAAACAAGTTCACTCATTCAAATGGATTAAGAGATCTTCATCAATGAAGCACCGATGCAAAACTGAGAATTTAGCCAAATATGCTATTGATTTGTAACGCAGGCAAACACACCATAGATGGTTTCATCCACGTCTATGAATATAAAAATTGTTTTCCATTTTAATTTGCTACAAATATCAGCATAACTACAAAAACTCACTTCATTGCTGATGGTCATGAGCTTATTCTCATCCTTATTGGCAATAACATGCCCTATCCCCATCATAGGCAATATTCCGCTAGTATATACACATGAATGATAGCTACCTTTAAGGCTATATCCAAGCATGCCTGCCGATATTGTGGACGCCCCAATATCAAACTCCATATCGCACCAAGGCCTTGAGTTATGCGCTCAATGTCACGGACAACTTTACCATGACGATCAATAACACTGGAATAGCAGAGATCATTCAAAACTTTCAACGCAGATTCAGGCAAAACCGGAACTTCACCTAGAAGTCTACTAAAAGACTTGTCCGAAGCTGGGAAAGCCTCCAACAGAGATTTGGCCTGCAGGGAAACTGCTGTTATCTATTCATCCCAAGGGGGATTTTAGTTATTTTGCTGTTTTGATATGCTTCCTGCTCAAGGATTTGAATATGGTCCCTGATTTGATTGTAGCTGTGATGATGAATGGAAACAAGCATCGGCACAAACTATTTTCATAATTTTATTCACTTGACATTTCCGTTTAGAAATCTTCAGAAACAGCAAATAATAATAATAATAATAATAATAATATCATAATAAAAAAGACAAAACAAGTTATAATGTGCCTACCATCCCCAAGAGAAAATTTTCATACAGAATGGCAGCAGAGGAAGAGTTTGGAATTGAATCCAGCATAACACAGGAGTGCAGATGGTACAAAACATGCAATACAAGTTCATGGCCCTGCAAAATCCATTCCAAATATTATTTAAGTATTTAAAAATTTTTAGGGGGGGAAAATGAACATAAACACATCATAAGTGACATTTGTCAAACAGAATGATGATCTCCATCCATAACCATTTAAATTACAAACACCTGTTAAGATGCTGGCAACATACAGATTTGGCAACTTCACCAGCACCAACAGAAACGTTTATATCTTTATTTAACTCGACTAATTATATTGCACAATATGTATTTCTATGTTCTCACAACATCAAAGTTACAGTTTTTATTTCACAAGCAGTAATAAACCCTGAATAAACTTCAAAACACTACAATTTTGTTTTAGTGCAGTAGGTTAAGCTTGCAATAGGACAAATTAACAACTATCTGGCAGGTGAACTATCAGCAAAGTTTGGATTCTCTGGAATCACAATTGACAGGCACTACTCTGCATGACACGGTTGACAATTTGCCAAAGTTCAAATATCACCAAATCAATATATGGTAGCAAATAAATATATCCGACGCTTCAAGCATCATATTATGCAGTTTAAGCATCCGTCATCAAGTACACTCACGTCCCAATCTATTCTTCTGATTTTCACGAATAAATCTAAAAAATGATGCTGGGATTTACTTACAACAACTAAGCATCCATTTTCTAGATAACAAATGCAAATCAAAACATCTTAAAGACTCTTAACTTTTTATCAATGGCAAGAAAGGAAAAAAAGAATTTATTAAGAAGAAAGAAAGAAGAGGAGGATGAATAAAGTGATGGCAAAGACTGCACTCAACCAGGAATTTGCGGAAAAATTAGTGATTACTAATACTGAAATGCAACCAATATAAGCAAAATTAAAGATTGGGGAGAGGGGATAGGGAAAACAAAATTATGTAAAATCTTATCGTTGAAATAGAGCAAGATTCAAAACACTGGTACCTTCCGCCACTGGTCATCCAGGACATGTTTTTGCAGCATCGAAATAAACTCTCTATCATCATCAATCTACATGGAAAAACAATAAATTTATAATACTGCTCAAAACTTGATAGCCAACAAGTGATTAACGCATATCACACTCCAGATTTCCTTTTATTGCACTCGAACTTTTTTCTTTACTGTTTTATGGCCAGCTGCAGCTTAATGTTTCAGGTTAAACAAACTACATTCCTGATACTATCTATCCATTTCCTTTAAGTGGCATATAAAACTAAATCAAAAAAGTTTCTTTCCTAGATTATACACAAGTTTTGCATGACTAGAGATGCCCAAAACCTCAATATCATTCAATCCCCGCCAGACAAAGGCAGCTAATACATGTCTTCAACATATTACAAACATTTTTTTTCGGGGGGGGGGGGTGTTTTACCTGAGCTACCATTCGGGCAAGTAATGGCATGCAAAACTGCTGGCAATCTGTCCCATGCAAATGCTTGTACGACTCAATAAGATGCTTAACTGCCATATGTTTAATGTTACTTTCATGATCTTTGGACAGTTCAACATATGGTGGAAGCTGGGGTAATTCCAGACAGGTATCTTCTGATGCAGATGCAGATGTAGCATCTGGAGAAAACTGATCATATTCCAGCATGGTTGAATTGGTCCCTTTTGCATCGGTATCCAACAGCTTCACTGTACTCTGATCCTCATCTATAACATCAGCAACAGAGTGCAAGGGATCTGAAAAAGCATTTTCTTCTGGACTCTGGTCGATATCCCGGGGCTTCTCTTGAATCTCCATCTTGGTAATTGGTTTTTCAGGTGCTAAAACTTGCGGACCTTCAGAGATGATATCTTCACCTTTGATATTGGCTGTTAGAGGTGCGGGAGCATTGTCAATAGCGGCCCCACCAGAGTGTGAAACAGGCTTACTCAAAGATAAAGATTCATCAGACTCCAATTTCACAGAACCAGTATCTTCCACAACAGATACAGCTGTCCCTGCAGCATTTACCGCTACACGTCTAGGATCTAGGCGACGAGGATCCTGAAAATTTGTACCAGGAAGAATACAAGTCAAATGAACAAACTATTATTATATGATAATAGATACAGAAGTATCAACTATAGATGCCTATACTGGTTTACCCTGCGAGGATCACGTTTGGAATCAACAGGCAGATTATTGACATTGGAGGTGTCAGATAGTGACATGGCAGTGGCTGTAGCTGAAGGGAATGGAGCTTGAGCTGTAATAGCAGAGGATTGAACAGAATTTACGGACGCAGATGCTGCAGCTCGTAATTGACTGCGCTGGGTATCAGCTTGTGTAGATGGATCTCCAAGCCTTGTTAATGATGGTGGTGTCTTAGGCAAGTGCCTCATGTTAGTAATGACAATATCAGCTAACAAATCAGGATGGATCTTTGAAATAAGGATTTCAAGAGATTCAGCACCTCTTTCTCCTTCAGCAAGCAAAGCACCAATCATAGCAATCATTTGCTCCACGGCAGTTAGTTCACTATCCAGCACAGGAACATTAGAGGATAGTTCATTTGCAGAGTTAACATCCTGCTCAGAATCAATTATTTGAACGGATAAAGGAGAGTGTGGGCCAGGGCCAGAATGCATTCGCTTAGACATGACCTCGTGACCATTTGTCAGTTCTTTATCAGTAGGCATCGATCTTTTTCTAGATAATTCCCCGGAAACTGGTGTCTGAGTTGATAGGAAATCATCCTGACCATTAAAAATGCAAATGAATGGCATATAATAAGATGAAATCAGCTGCTAGCAACTAGTTCTCAGTTTCACAATCTTATTTTTCAGCCATGGGTAGTAGGTCACCCCTTACCTTGCTAGCTCGAACATCACGATTAGAGCGATCACCATTTCTAATTAATTTGTCAACTTGCCGAATGACTTGCTCAGCAGCATCCCCTGCATTCATAGCTCGCAGGCTCTTTACCAATCTTTCTCTTGACTGAAAAAAATAACAGAAATCTTTTGAGACAAGCCATTTTATACAAGAGCTGGCCTCATTGTTCCCCCAGTTACTAGTAACATAGGATCCTAACAGGAGCATCCTCTAAACTTCACTATTGTTCTTTGTTGAAGACTGCATGCTTTTTTCGTTTTTGGAGATGGTATGAGAGATGCCGCACTAACTGGAAGCAGTAACACGGTAATTGAACATAGAGAATATGACCTTATAGTATAAGCATTACCCTTCTCTCCCAACTATTCAACAGACAATGGCAATGGTTCACCTTCAGAAGAAAATATTACCTACAAGCTTCTTTTATGGCCTTATTTCCATATTTTAATTTTCGTCCCTTCTTCTGGTTTCATAGGTATGTTTACAAACTAACAAGTATGGAAATGTGAGAGGAAAAAAGGCTAGGTGCCGAATTTGCTATCATAACCTCTGAATTGGTATATGTTAAAATAACTTGATTATGTCTCAATTTGGCTGACTCAACACTCATCCAAAGCAGTATCTCCAAGATCTAACAACTTCTAAATAATCAGATGAAAATATGATTTGAAAGTTTAGTTATACATTAAATCACCAAGAAAGAAGCAAGGAATTCAGGGTGAAGCCAGACCATAAATCAGTGACAAATTATAATTTCAGAAAGTCATTACATTGATATTGTAAAGAAAATATTAGAAAATAATGAAATGATCAATTAGAAATGAAGACTAACAAAGCAGGCCATAAGCATATTTACCTCTAAAATTGGTAAGTAAGTGCACCTTAGAAACCCCAAAAATGCTGTTCTTAAGGAGTACTGAACACTGGCAGCATGACATCCTTTTACCATCTGAATATTTGGATCAAAATCGAGCAATGCTGGAAGAACGGTATTGCAGTGCTGTGGCCTTTTTCTTGCTATGGCCGCAAGACTGCAAAGGAAGTAAACTACAGGGTTAAATCCCAGATGAAAGAAACAAAGCAGCCAAGACGGTAAACAATAAAGAGCACATTAACCACAGAAATCAAATGCGATATTAAGAGCAGCATAACCCATATAAAAAGAAGTTAGACCAAACAATTGCATCCAGGGCATGTGCACTTGGGGGGAAAAAGCAGAGGCTCCAAAACAACCAAACTCTGCCAGCAGCATTTTTTTTTTTTTTTTGGGTCATACAGGAAACCCAACTGCCTAGTGTCAGGTACTTCTTCTGGGCCCTGGCCTTCTGACCAGGACCAAGTACCCGTATAACTGACTAATCCCAATTTGAAGAGACGGAGCATGCCATTTAACAGGTTGGCTCCTCTACCTACCAAGTATGCTTTCTGAGAATTGAACTTGTATTCTAATCCTTATAAGGAGCATCAGCAACTTCCCACTACGCCCAACACTTGTTGGAGCACATGTATTTATTCTAAATAAACAATGTGCACCCCATAATATTTCATTATGGAATTTATCATCAAAAATATAGAGCAGCATTAGTTACACATCTCTACATCAATAAGTATCTCATCATAAACGCCTTGTCCTGCCAATTCTTTTTTATTTATTAGAGATACAAATACATAATTGTGCAATTAAGTTTGCCGATGTAAATTACAGTAACAAAACACCTGAATCACATGCATAGATAGCATGCCAAAGGAAATTTTAGAATAAACACTGATCAAAATTAACAGTACTTCAGTCCCAAGAATACACTAGCATAATGTCTCTTTTCCCCTAATAAAATAGTCGTAAAGGCCCTTTTTTCAGCTTCCCCCCATTTTCTGTTTATAAAATAAGAGCGCACTGTTATGAATAGACAAGCAACGAATCACCCATTGGAAGGAAAAAAAGATGGTGATAGAATAAAGAAAGATGAGCATGCCTATTAAGTTCAAAATAACACTTCCAATAAATTATGCCCCTGTTCCGATCATATTCTTGTTAGCAACATCATGGTAGCATCTAAGCCAGCTAAACAGCTCAACCCCTGGTGCAACTTAAAGAGAAGACATGCTTCGACAACAACACCAAGATAAATAAGTGAGAGTGTCTGTCACAATTCTTATTTCAACACCTTCCTCGTACTAACAGCGTCTACAAAACTCAAATAAAACCTCAGAACCACAGAGTTCCAGACGAGTCAGACTATAACAAGGTTACTACACATAGAGCTCCAAAGCTTTCACTCGCCTTTAAGAAGTTGCAGATGCATTACCAACAATTATCCTAAGCATCATGGACCAGAATGCTTAGATAAGTTGTTAGAACAAAACAAAACGAAAGCAGAAAAAAATTCACTAGGACATAATTTGCCTGGGAAGCAAACTAAATACCAATGCTGTTTGCTAGAGCATAAACTTTGACCTAGCCAAGATAAAATGGAACAAATTGCACAATTTAAAATTTATTGCAAATACCACAATACCCTCAGAGGAGCTGCCAAGCTCCACTACCATGACACATCATCAAAGCCACTCAAACTGGTGTCAACTACACTGCAGTATTATTAATTTCTCACAGAGACTTGGTAGTATGAGATACCAAGTCCTACATTGAGTAGCATGGACTGCTCAGTGGGGTATTTAAGTGGGTCGGTTCCCTCAGCTCAATACTCAGCTATTGGAGTAGAGTTCCCCTTCTCACTCAGGTACCCATTAGTTTGCCCCTCAAAACCCATCATCACTGCAACCTCAAGTCCATGAACAGAAGGTCACCGTGAATCACCTTGACTCAAGTTCTTAATATCCTTTAAAAGCAAAGGACTTAATTGGCAAAAGCTTTTGCCAAATGCACCATTCAGATAGAGTTTAGGTCTGCCTCTATGAAAAAGACATCCAAAAGTCAGCAGAAATTCATAAACAGCGCCCTTTCAACCAAGAGGTCAATGCAAGAAGTTTAGATATAGATTTACTGATTCCCACAAAAGGTGGCAAGCAAGCTATCCGAGGGGTTTAATACTCACAATAAGAACAACAACAACAATAATTAACCCACTCAAATACGTTGATGCTAGTGAAGCCAAAATATATATATATATATATGTTGATACTAGATTTTGGCACGATCATCCAAAACAGCACTTGGTAAAGTAGCAAAAGAAATTTTCAGTCACATGAAATAATTCAATTCTTTTCAATAGCAATATGTTGCATCGCTACAAACTGCAGTCAATCAGTTTATTGACAAAGAAAATTTGATGACAGTCAAGTCCAAATTTTTTCATACAATAGGACTTCCATAAATTCTCTCTGCATCAATGGTTGTAGTACTCAGGTAATCAAATGTATGTTTAAGAACAAGCACGTGCATGATATCTCTGCCACCAGTACAAAAGAAGCATACAACTGCAGAATAACATACAAAATAGCAGCAGTAACTAGTAACAACTAAAAAGACATCTGCAAATTCCAACAGCAAAGCCTTATGGACCACACTTGCATTCTTCATGATGCCAAACCATCTACAAAGTTCCATATATGGATCCATACACCTTATGACACATTCATGGCGATTCAGGACAAGATAGATGACATTTCCACTACAATGAAAATCAGAATATACAGCAACAAGAAGTAATTATGAAATCATTCAAATCAAATGCCATAAAAACTGAAGTTTACATGACAGCCTGTGATAATGACGCAGATGTCAACATTTTAAATTATTAACTTCAAAAAACTAGAGATATGACACATAATGGATCAAAAACTTTCCAAGACTGATTTTCCAATGCAATCATAAATAAATTAGGGGAAAAAAATATAGAAGGAAGAAAAGTTATGAGTCTGAAGCATAATCATGAGAGAAGTATTCCTTTACAAGTACTTTCCAGTCCTTTGTTTGAATTAAGGCTTCAATTTTGAGAAGATCCAATCATCACTCATAAAGGAGCATAAGGTCGGAACAACAACGGCCAGCCAAAAACTCGCAAGAGCTATCGCAAATATAAACTTGAATGATACTTTTATAAATGCTTAAGACTTAATTTCTGGAAAACATTATGTCCATGACCATGCAGTTTAACGGGCCCACGTGTGTCTATTGAAATATTAGCCATAATAAATTCTTGTATGGTTTTTCAAGATTCAGTAAACTCCGAGCACAATGTCCATGTCATGATTGATTTCAAAAGGCAGGTTTGGACTGCATACCAGATGAGCTAATGTAATGGGATGAAAAGGTATTTCAAAAGGTTACAAAGATAATCAAAGAATCAGCAGAACAGATAGGCTAGGATGCACAGGATGGACTGTGTAAAGCCCAACAATCCAAATATAATAATAACACATGGAAAGAAGTTAAAAGCCATAAAGATGGAGCAAAATCACCAAATATAACACAAGCTCTCAACAAAATATAATTTGAATTATTGACACAGTAAAAGCGTGTCAGCTGTTATATCCATCGTAAAATATCAAATACATTTTCAATTTCTCTAAACATCACCAACTGTACACACATACAGCACAAAAATTTACACATTAAATGGTCTCTAAAGTTTGCAATTATAAACTGCATCGTTGATGACCATGTTTCCTCGGTTCACGAGATGACCATTTTATGCATCAATAATCAATGTTATCACCGACCAGCTGGCGCTCCCCAGTACAAAAAATGAACATAGTCTATCCCTGTAACTTTCATTATATGCACCGCCAAAGCAGCAGAATCCAAAGCCATTTACTCCTCACGGAGCACTGGTCACCAAGCTGCAATGATATCAAACAAGCAGTTGAACTTGTTCTATCCATGAGTCCCTGCTTCGGTGATCCCTCCATAATTGTGACGATAGTTTAACCAGGAGGACAATGCAGTTATATACTAAGTTTTTATAAAGCTTTCAGAATCTGAAGTGAAGACATATCATAGCATCAGTAAAGAGAGGAGAGCGTCATGTATAGTTCCAATCATGAAACCATGGTGCGCTTTATACACTAGAATAGCAAGACAAACACAAGTCACCTTCCTGCATGGAAAGGAGTAAAGGGAGTAGCACACTAATATATTTCAAATTTATAAAATGACACAAATTAAGTTGAATAGTTACGCAGTTAACGGGAATCAGTTACAGTTGTGTAGCCATAGAGCACCTTATAAATTAGAATCATAAGAGAAAACACATCACCTTCCTGCATGTAAAGGTGTAAAGGATACTAGACAATAATATGTTTCATATTTATAAAACGACGCAAATTAAGTAGAATTGCCAAGCTGTTATAGGAGTTAGTTAGTTAGTTAGCAATCTGTTAGGATGTTGATTCTGTTAAGAAGTTTTAGCTCATCCCTGTTAGCATAAATGAGGGATATGCACATGTATCAAGTGTGAATGAAACGTCTGTTTACACATGTGCCACGAATGCTTCCAGCTGCAAGTGTACAAATGTTGCCAAATGAATGAGTTCAAAAGTCGAGGACCCCTTAAGATGAGAACCGTTGCATATGTACCTCCCAAAAAAATAAATTAAAAGCTAATAAAAATAAGTGTTGCAAACATCTTTGTGCATTTTGATTCCCCTCCACTTTTAGTAGATGATGATACATCCTCCAATAAGAAACATACAAGTTAATGATTTCATGCAACAAGAAAAATAATCGCTAAAAAGAATCTTAAATTTCTCTGCAAAACCATTAGAGAAACCTACCAAACCAAAGCCAGAGACTAAAACACATTGACATGTCCAAAAAAACTCTATCCAATGAAGGCACGTAAATAGAATTTCTATTATCTTAGCCCCCCAGGCCAGACACAGATAAAAAATTGTACATGGTACCTCAAACACAGCCATTACCCTCCACCAACTTAAGGACTCCCAACACATATTTATTATTTGACATTTATTACAACCAGAATCGGGGGTATAGAAGGAAATCATCAGACTCCAATTATCTCCAACTTTCTAAACTTGCAGCACCATATACGCACTAAAAGTATGAAAGCACAACTTGAATACAGGAAAGAATCAAAATCAACAATTGTAGCTTACATGTTTCAAGAGAAAAGATGCAAAACAGTTTGCAAGAAACTAGGAGTGGTCATAGCAGTTAAAACCAATGAAACCAATCCATAGGAAACCAACAAGCCTTGAAACCACACACCAATGTTGAAGCTAGCAAGTGGCTTTCAACCAACAAAAGAAAGGAGGGGGAAAAGGGACGGAAAAAATGCATAATGAACAGACAAAGAAATTAACTTAATCACATAGCTGATGGTAAATTACCATGTTGCCACACGATGCACAAAAATAACTAAGCCCAGAGAGGGGATATCACAATGAAAAGTGACATATAGTTAAGGATAACAAAGAACACAAGATTAATGAAAAATTCAACACAAACAGGAAAAAAAAAAATTGATTTTAATAAAGAGATGCCTGGGTAAATTTGAAGGACTAAAAGAGGAAAATGTAGAAAAACAATTTACCAAATAAAAATAGTCAAAGAAAACCACTGAACGCTCCTTCCTTCTAAAATCACAATTATGCTTCCCCAGTATATTGACTAAAAGTAAATTAGAACAATCATATATATGTACATAAATTAAAAAGCGGACAACCAGACAACTAGCTCAAGCTTCGTAATCATTAAAAGACAAGGATTAGACAGGATATAAATGTAATAGACCATCTGATTTATTGACTGCTAACACATGAAAACTCACCAATTGACAACAGTAATTGTCAAGCAACCAGGCAGGCTAGCAGCCGATTGCAAAAAGTTTAATAGAATGCCAACAGTCCTACTTGCTTCTGACATGAGCATCACCGGATCAAGAACAGGATGACTAGCCTCCAACCATGAGACATTAAAAACTTTTCTGCCTCCTGTAGCATCCTCGATGTTAAAATTAAAATGGATGAGTAGATTAAAACTATAGCAAATAAATCTGCGTGTGATTATAACAGTAAATTATTTCCATACTAAAGCCATATCCTCTGAATCTCATCATAATATAAATTTTACGTTCAGGAAATTAGAAGAAAAATACCTTCTAAAAGTGACTTCTCAGGATAACCGATGTCAGATGAAAAAAGTAAGACTACTGCTTCCAAAAATTTCAGCGCTAACAATTTCGTTCCAACTGAACCAGGCTACAATATCAAGCAAGACAACATTCAAATCAGCAAAACATAAAGTCCATCACCATCACATCAATTCAAGCAATATGACTACAACACAGGATTTGTGCGGTTCTGATAGATAAGGAACAGTTGCATAAGTGAAGGCTAAGAAATAAACCTGCGTCCAATTAACTAGCCAGAAAATGAAATTATTATGACACATGCATCAAATCATAGCAATTTAATAGAGAGATTACACACACAAACAGAGAGAAGCATTCAAGAACAAGGATGAGAAGTGAAAATTACCAGCATACCATAAACAAAGACAAAATTCACTCTAAATTCTAAATTCCAAATTCCATATCCCTAATCGCAAGAAATTTTAGATATCCCAACTCCCAAAGAAGTTGCAGTGAACGGAATTGCTAACTGAACCCTTCAGCATCCCCGAGGTTGCCCATGATTGTAAGCAAAAGTCGAACTGACTAGGATTTTAAAACCATCTGCTTCTTTCAGCGATTTAAATGTAAATTTGAATCCTTATATAAGTGTATTATTCATTCAGTTGAAAATGGAAAAAATAGGAAACATGCATATCACAGTAATTTATCACCTGTAATGAAGCAGCAATATAAGAATAGTAAAACCTTATAATATTAGCACAGCAGATATATGCACAGAAATCCAAATGAAACTATGGCATTAAATGTGGATCTAAAAGAAGAACCTAGATACCTCCAGAGCAATCCCAAATACAGCATCCTTGAACTTGAGCATCCACATCCAAATCTCCTCTAACCACCTCTCAACTTTACCATATTGTTGATGCTGTCAGATTTCTAAAGTATGTCAGTGGCCTATTGCAAATCAGGGTCAAGGAAATTCTTTTCTTTTCCTTCTTTCTTTTTATTTTTTTTTTTTTTTGAGCAGGGGGATAAAGTATAGTGTTGCATTAAATAACAACAGGTTGATGATATTTAAAAAAGAAATAAATAAAGTCAGTTCCGTTCTGAAGAACAAGTGTGCCAACAATATCAACATTATACTTCTTGACAAGAGGAAAACGGTATAATGGCGGAAATATTCATGAAGTGAAAGGGGAGGAAGAAGGAAAGAAGGGAATAAAGTCAAAAAAGAAATTTTTTTCCTCAAAAATAAACATCAAACGATAGTTAGCTATAAGTTCTTTCACTTAAAGTGGATTAACACGATATAAATATGTTCACATATGGATGTATAGCATACTTAGCCTTTGGAAAACACTAAGTCCGGGACCTACACACATCAGGCCTAGCTATAGCTTATAAATAAAGTCAGTTTCGTACAATAACTAAAAGTTCATATGAACCATCCCGTATTTTACAAGCTTATGATATCCTTAATCTTATAGAAGCCAAGGCCCAAAGAGTACATAGGCAAAGAGAGCCATCATGACCAAGAAGCACATTAGGCAACAAAATAGACACAGAACCATGTGTTCACACAAATTCCGATTTACATGATTTTTGTTTGGGGACGGGGGACAAAGAACAAACGAATATGAGTCTGTCTTCATTTATGCATCAAGGCAACGAGAGGGTTGAATAGTACCTGCATCGTCATCTCGGCCAAAACACTGCAGAAGATATATGTGCCACTAATAAGAGATTGCTTTACAACAGTGGTGTCGTTATCTCGTAAAAATGCTAATAATACAGACATTAGTGTTGGAGAATGCTCTGCTGCTCTTAAACCTATCTCTTCAATTACCCTGGAACACGGAATGAAGATCTTAAAAGAAGGCCACGAGGAAAGACAACAGGCATTGCCACACATAGAGAGCGAAAGTCAAACATTAAACCAGTTCTTGAGAACAACAAAGTACTAAATTTGGTTAGGCAACAAATGCATTATGCAAAATCACGCCAAAAAAATAGTTACGAAGGTTCAAAACAAATTCCCTGTAGGTAAAAGCAAAGGCGTTAGCTGACAAAATGCACATTTTTATGGCCCGAACAAAATGCATGACATGAAAACAACAGCAATGGCCATAAATCTAGGCGCAACTTTGCCTCTTAAAGAAATATATTTTACGAAGAAAGCATAATGGAACCATCCCCAGAATAAGTTTGGGGTGGAGAGCAATTGCAGTGAATTTAATTTAAATAGTCTGAATGATACAACAGGAGCGTCGAAAGGATAGCAGCAACTTTGGAGAAGCAAGATAGTAATAGAAATTAGAATGAATAAAAACTTGGGGCATAAGAACTCACTCGATCAATAATTTTCGAACGAGGGTTTCGGGGGAGGACTGAAGTCCGGCCAAGTAGGAGAAAAGGTCGGCGGCTAAAGACGGCTCCATTGACAGAAGAATGTCCTTGGCTTGTTTCAAAGACGAAATCTTGACAGCTAAGTCGCCATGATTGTTGGCAGCGGCTAGAAGAGAGAGCGCTCGGTCTCTGGGAAATGCAGCCATGACTGAAGCAACAACAACGAGTGTGTAAAATATGACGATTGAAAGAGAAGAGGTTGGGTGATCTAGAAAATTTTCTTAGGGTTTTGGAAGAGAGAGGAGGGAGGTTTAAAGTTTTATGAGAGGAGCGAGGGGTAAAAAATGAAACGAATTGAAGCTCCAGATTAAGCGAGGCTGTTTCTCATTCACAGCTCGCGAACGACAAAGATGGAGCGAAAAGCGAATTGCCAGCGGGAAATTATGCAATTACGTGCAAACGTCCATGAGAATTGTGGAGACTGAAAAGACAGGGTTTTTTAATTACGCACAGCACCGATGCGGGAAGGGGATTTTTGAGAGGCCCAGTTAAGCTCGCCCGATCATGGCTGATCGGAAATTTAGAGTAGGTTTGGATTGTCGTTGAAATAAAATGATTTTTATAACTAAAATTAAAGTAAAAATCAGTTAGAACATGCTTGGATAAGTACTCTTAAAAAATCAGTTAAAAAAATTAAAAATTATTTAAATGATTAATAGAAAAGTTAATTTAGTTGTAAAATGACTGAGAATGGCATGGATTTTATTGAATAGTAGTATTTAAAATTTTATATTTTTAATGTGATGAGAGTTTAAAAAAATACATAAAATTATTATGATAAAATATAAATAGTTTATTAGTGAAATTATAAAATAAAAATATTTGTTATGGAGAAAAATTTGAAAACACATGGTAGATAATTAATTAAATATATATAGTGAACAAACATGAATATAAATTAAAATTCATTTGGTCTCAATAAAAGCTCATTATGCTAACAGAGGAGATAAGGCAAAGGGAAAATGTGAGGGTAAATCTAGGATGTTCATTTTTAATGTTCACCGTTTGAAACTATAGTTTGAAAAGTTAGATTTTTCTCGATTGAGTCTAACTAATATTGAAGACCAAAAGTTGGTCAAAAAAGTTAGCTCAGCCAAACAACGTTTTTTATCAATCTCAATTTGCAACCTCAATTTCACCATTTCTAAGAGACTTTTACTATTGGAAACGGCAATCCAAACATGCACTTAGTTTGTCTTGCCCTTGTCGCGGATAAAAGAAAATCCTACTCATTTTTAATTACCCTACAGCTATTTAGCTAGTTTATAAAAAATTTAAAAAAGGAGCAGTTAAGATGATTAGCATAGCTATTATTGTGCAAAAATTCTGTATTGTTTTCCCTTGAAATGCCCTCTTTTGGTGAGATACTAAATACTACTGTAAACCAAAAATATAGTTAAAACCCTGTAAAATTAATTAAGATGCAGTCTAAATACATGTTTTATTTGTAGCACCAAATTATAGCCCTGTTTGCTGTCACGGTTGAAAATCACTTACAAACACATTTCACGTAAGTCGAGATAAAACTCATCTCACGTATTTCGTAAATCACAATTAAAAAGCAGTTTTTAAACTATTCCAAACGGCCCTATATTTGTCAATATGTTCTGTATTTGAGATTAGGTGGGTAAAAATTAGGAAGATTGGTAGTTTTTTTTCAGATTGGTTCGCCCGGTAAATAATTTGTGGTGTGTGCTTAGTTTAACTAGCTAACATCTTGATCATAAACATAAAATGCATTTTGCAGTGTAAAAATGAGTTTTATATTTAGAATCAGAAAAGTATTCGTTTTTGTTGCCAGCAACTAATTAGCACTATTAATCTAATCTTTGTGGTTTCAGAATATTAAATAAATGAAATCCGCGGTCTGAATGTCACCTATAAGTCAAACGTAAACTTTTACTTGAGTTGTGCTCCTTCGTTGATTATTTCTTAGGATTGAATTTATTTGAGAACGTTGGAACGATTTATTTAAGTCACATGAAGTTAGTTCACCTGGTAAGATTAGGATGGAATGTAAGCGGAAGCCGATAATTCAAATTGCTTCTTTTTCTTTTTTCTTTTTTGGGAAAAAATGGTCTTGTATACAATAACAGAACTGTATCCCAAAAGGTTCTGTTGCGAGCAATTAAAAATATGTTTATGGAACAAAATTACATCAACATCATCATTTTTTGGGCTATGCATAATTATCATCTTTTTTTTCTTGTTAAAGCACAGGTATTACCTTGTTAGAGGCAATCCTATTCGAGGTACTATTAAGTACTAAATGTGAGCATCTTTTTCAATAGGGATTCAAATCTTAATTCACCACATTCTGACCGACTAGTTCCTTCTGTTAAACCCAATCCAGTTGGTATAAGTATCATCTCATCAAAGACAATTCTAAACACTGTTAAATACTATTAAACATAACTCATTCTATTTGACCCCATCTCCTGCCAAGGCCACGAAAATAATGTGAGCAATCCACCTCCCACAAGGAAGTGGGCTGGCCCATGACTTTTAGGCCTTGGCCCACCAAAGGACCGGGGGGTGCATGATATGATGATATCTCAATCGGTGAAATAACACGTTGATCTGCCTAGCCATAACCCTCCAACACCAGTTGTCTCCTCCCCCTATTGATCATCCACTGCTGTCGATTGTCAAGAAGTCCCCAGGCTTCTGGAAATTCTTCATTAATGGTGCCCCTAGTTACCTAAGCTCCCTGAAAGTGACTCTTCAAACTAGCATATTAATTCAGGTCCCGCAAACTTCCTATCCACGAACTCAAAACGCTAGTGAGCTTTCCCATTTCTGAGGCAGAGAAGGCACATCGGGAATAAAAGCGTTTAGTGTGATTAATGAATTATTATTTGTCAAAAATTCCGAGGAACGTAATCACGGCCTATAACTGTTTTTTTTTTTTTAAGAGAAAAAATCATCAAGTACGCATCAGCAAATCAAGCGAGGCACAAGTTATGCTTTATCTTTAGATGACACCTTCTATTACATGCGCGCATATATTAGGTTTGTTGCATGCATTATTTTTTTGAGAGAATTACAATGAGGTCCCAAGTAATTAAAAAACAAGTCCCAGAGGTTGTCATTCTCACTGTAGGACTTGTTATTATAGACTGCTCAGGTTGTTACTTGGGACTGTTTAGTGATTATTTCTCTTACGTAGGACTTGAATGTAATTCTCCCTATTTTTTTAACTGCTGTTTGTTTCTTGAATACGAAGAGACAATAATGTCAAATGAAACACACATACGCACACTTAACCGTATTCTCAAACTTCATACTCCCTCCGTTTCTTATTATAAGAGACGAATAACCGAATTACGTTGATCAAAAAAGCAGTTAAAATTAGTTAAGAACAATCAATGTGTAAAAAATATAATTTCTTTTCCAAAAATGCCCTTATTAATAAGGAGAGAGAGTATGAGAGAGAACAATTAAATTATTGAAAGAAAGAGAAGGGGAATGGAGAGAGAGTGTGAGTTGGAGACAATAAATATGGATAAAATAGGAAATTAACACAAAAAAGTAAGACAACTTTTAAGTGTCTCTTATATATAGGAACATGCCATAAGCATCAAATATCTCTTATAATAAGGAACGGAGGGAGTATAATCTAGCACGAGACTCATATCTAATTTAATCTGCATCAGCCAGTTAAAGGCACGTACATGCTTCAAAAATAAGAAGAAAATGTAGTTCCAATTACAGTGCAACCTAATCATCAGGCTATCATTAATCTTCCCGCCCGCGGCATCATCCGAAGATCTGAATCGTAATAAAAGCATCTACGGAAGAGAAAACGCAGCAAGAAATGAGGGGGGAAAAAAAAGCATATTCATAATAATGGCATTTACAGATTTGTGTGGCTCATATAATAAAATGTCCAACATGCGTGGCAGTACCAATTTGGCGTACTCCGATCTCCTGCATTCACATCCTCCAAATTAAACAATGTGATTCAAATCCAAAAGCTCCAGACAATGAGACACCCCAGCCCAAGGCCAGCCGTTCGAATCAATTTCCCTTTCCCCGCTGGGTCACCCCTCCCCACTCACCTTCCCCGCCACAGCCAACTCTTCCTTTTCTAATGAACACAATTATTAACTAATTGTTCTGAATTCCGACCCCTTCCATTTTTTGTCCCCAAAGAAAAATGGGAGTTTAATTAAAATCTAGCGTTTTCGAAGCCGTGCAAGTCGCTAACTCGATTCAACGACTTCTTCATCATGGCCATCTTGGCCAGCTTCTCAGCCGCTCTCCAAGCCGATGTCGGCGTCAGCGGCTCCCCATCTTCATCCACCAACAACGACGCTTCTCTTTCACTGCCTCTTCTCCGTTGCATCGCCATCATCTGCTGCTGCTGAATCTTATCCATCTGGTGCTGTCTCCGCCAATGAAGTTCTGCCAGCTCAGCTTCCAAGCCACGGATGAACTCGTCGGCCGAGATCGAGCTCGACTGCATCAGAAGAGCTCGAGTCGAAGCCAGCAAATGATGCGCGCTCGTGAAGTCATTGTGCTCCGTCAGTCTCCGAGACTCGGCTATGGCCCTCGTTGTCACGAACAGATTCCTCAACCTCTCGATTCTGATGCCGGAACCTCGTGTAGTTTGAGGTGGCGGTACCATAATACTCTGTTCGCCGCCGTAGACAATCTCCTGCGTGGCAGGGCATTTGAAAACGCACCGTACAGTCATTACATGGTGGGCCCCGTAAGCCGAAGAAGGAACTCTCAGCTCCACCAGAATCTCTCTCTCTTCTTCCGCGTACAAATCGCCGAGCCGCACGGACCCTGAGCTCAGCACCGTGGGCCTCCCGCTGCAAGAGTAAACGGCGCTAATTTCAGCCGGCGCTGAGCCTGCCTGGAAGCCGAGCTGAATTCTCAGGTCCTGCACCACCACGCTCAATAACCCACCAACGCACTTGGCAAACGCATCCTCGGCCGGCTCGTGGCTGTACCCGGCGTTCTGTCCAAACCCGAAGGCATGAACCGGGATCTCGATGTGAGCGAAGCGAGTAGAAGGCCAAGTAGTGGAGCCTTTCCGCTGATTATTTGGGTCCCCAGATTGTCCTCTCTCACCTTGGCCGTCCGATAAGAGCATAACGCTCGCCACCGGGTTTCTGTCCCTCCGGTCTTCCAGCACTTTGGTGGCTTTCCTCAAAGCGTCTCCCACGCAAGTTCCTTGGCCACAGACAAGCCGATCAATGATGCGGCGAGCGGCGCGCTGCCCCTGGGCCGACATTCTTCTTAAAGGTAATAATCGTTTGGCGCTGGCCGAAAAAGCCACTATAGAGAGCCTGTCAGCTGGGCCGAGGGACGAAATAACCAAACGCATAGCGCGCTTGAGCATGTGAAGCTTCGCTCCGGCCATGCTGCCACTCACGTCAAGAACTGTGACAAGATCAACGGGCGCCCTTTGAGACGGGTCCAGAAGCGGCGATGCAATCTTATTGGTGCTACGAGCCGCCGGAGCCTTCACCTTTAAAACCAAAGCGCAAGTCCGGTGGCTCCGAGAGACTGAAACAATAGCGCACTCCGGCACCAATTTCACCACGACATTTCTGGATTCTTCCTTCGTTTGCAAGTCACGGGAGCAAGATTTGATTGAGGATGAAGTTTTAGGATCGACGAAAAAGCCCTGGAACTCCACAACGTCGTCGTCATCTTCACAGTTTTCATCAGCTTCTGGTATGGTAATGATTTGGCCTCCGGAGGTAGGAGATAGAAGTGGCTCGTCATCGTCGTAGGGCCTGATGGAATCGGAACGCTTGGACTGATATCTTTGCTGTGGTGGCGGTTCAACGTTCTTGGTTGTGAAAGCTGAGGGGGAAGGGTTTTCCGTTCTGCTGTCATCGCTGGCATTTGGATGATCATCAATTCTCTTTTCAGCGACGATGTCGTTGTGTTGAGATGATTCAGAGGAGGGATTATTGTGGAGGGCGAGTAGGGGTATGTCTTTCCAGGTGGCGCCGCAGAGTGGGCAGACAAGGCTTCCGTGCTTTCGTACATAAGCAACGATACACGGAAAGTGAAAAGCGTGAGAACATTCTGCTGTATATATGGCCGTGCCCTGACCTGCCTTCACGCTATTCAAACACAGCCCACAAGTACTCTGCTTGCCCAAGAAACAAAAGCAAGAATGAAAATATCATCATTTGGATCTATAAATAAAATACGAATTTCATTATAGCGGAGCAAAAGAACGAGTCTCACTCTAAATTTGAAGCTGTTTTTGAAGAGAGACAACTTCAAAGGCGAGCGAGGAGAGGTTGGATTTGAGGCAGTGGATGGCGGTTTGGGGGATTTGGTCGCCTTGGGAGTGGTGTTTTTGCATTGAAATCTGGGGCTGTCATCAGCTGCTGCAGTTTGAGCCGCTTCTGAAATGGTTCGGCAACGCAAGCTTGGACTTGATAGAGGTTGAGACCCTTGTGAGCGTGGAGTACTAGAGGCGTTGCTTCCACTAGAGAAGAAACCCAATTTGGCACAGCTTCTGGGGCTCGGGCTTGGGCTTCTCTGCTGCTTGTCTGAAACTCTGGATTCTGGGTCGCGAGTGCAAAAGGCTCTTCTCCAACCAGTCCCCATTTCCCCACACTCCTTTTTCTTCTCTTCTATCCTTGTCTGTGCCTTTGTGTTTAAAGTTTCATGAAAGGAATAGAGAATAAGCTATAGCTCAGTAGGTGGAGAAAAACAAATTTTTGTTTGTTTTCATGGATCTGATGACTTCTGAGGATGGCATAGAAGACAAAAAGGGAGCTATGGAAATGGCCAGAAGAGAAGAAAAGAACAGGGGGGATCAAAAGAAATGTGAAAGGCGAAGAGACAAAGTTAAAGCGATGAGGATTATTATACGATAGGAGCGCGCAGGTGTGATCGGGTCAGGTCTTTTGTTCTCCGTAATATCTGTTCTCCTTTTTCCCCTCTCACTGATTGAACAACGCAAAAAAGATCCACGCAATTAAACGCCGTGAGAAAGTTATGTCGTAAGCTCCCCTCTGCTACCTCTCTTTCTTCCTCTGCCCCACTGTCTCTCTATTTGTATGATTCGTTTCAAAGACGAGAAGGTCCTGTTATAATACATACATTTATATCATTTTCCTTCGGGCAAAAAGCAACCTGTTCACTTTCCAAGGTAAATCAATTATTTACCAAGATAATTTACCAAAAAAGGAAAGATTTTGCCAAGATAACAAGCGCGTCGTGGTTTGTTTTTCAAGTAACCGGTCAACGACCCATCCTTTTTAATCACTTCCCACTCTGTTGAGTGTCATCAAACAAGGCGATAAAATCTGGAGCAGAAGAAAGTATATGAGCTGCGTGCGAAGCTTTAATTAAGTCGATAACTAACCGCATAAAAAACGCCCTAATATTGGGTCAACGAAAAAACATGATAATAATAAAGAAAATCCCTAGGAGGCGAATGAGAGAATGTGAGGTATCCCCGGTGCATAAGAACACGTGGGCGAACGTCTGAGTTTTAATGGAAGTGGACAGTAAAAATTCAGATGGGGGCAGAGCACACGATGAACTAGGTTGGTAGATACAGGGGAAGGAAACGACGTGAGCCGTTGATTGCACGCAATAGGGAGGGATGAGGCGGGACTGGGGTGGCATGGGGATTTTAAAAGCAGAGTGGGGACCACAAAGGGAGGTCCCTCAACCTAGGATCACAGAGAGCGGTCACCTCTTTTGTTCTTGTGTGTTTCTGAAACAGTAAAAAAAAACCCAAAAAAGAAAAACAAATAGGCAGGGGAAGGTTTCTGTCCAAAAAAAAAAAATAGGCAGGGGAAGGTAAGAGGAGAGAAGGGAGAAGACATGAAACATGAGTGGTGCTTGGTAGGCATGTCAGGAGTTCGGAGACCTACGGCTACGGAGCCCCTACAGCACCGTTACTAGTATCTGCTTGTTTCCACCTACAAGGCTACAAGACACTGAATGTTGTTGGACCACATTATTCCAAGGCAGCTTTTTGCACTCTTCATGCATCTTTCTTTTCACATCCAAACCAAAACTAGGAAGGAAGGGAGCCAACTGGGAGCATTGTGCAATAGGCTAATAGCATCTCTTGTGTCTGAGCTTTGTGGTTTCGGCCTTGCTTTCTCAACACGTCAACCGTCACTTCATGCATCCCCCCAGATTGAGTAATCATGCTCTAATCTCTCTCCTTTTAACCGCAAAGCCCATCCTTTCCTATTGTTTTCAATTCAAGGGTTAGGCATGCAGCCTTAAGTAGAATTAACGATTCCGTGCGCACAGGAGTTGATGTGGAGAGGGGGAGGGACGTGTGCATGGGAAGTAGGTAGACTTAGGCTGTGTTTGGTGAATGCTCTTCTCTCCCCAGACAACACTCAACCTCCCCACTCTGCCCATGCGTCTGGCTTCAAGGATCTTCATGGTTAATACAAAACCAATTGAACGTGTGTTTGAGCTGCAGAGAGAGAGAGAGACAGAGAGGGGAGGGGGGTAATATAACACTAACTATGCATAATCCACCACGGGGACGAAAACAATTGAGTGCCTGTTTGGAATGGTTTAAAAAATCTTCTATAAGCACGTTTCATGTAAATCGAGACACAATTCTTTTTATATATTTACCTCGTATTTCGTAAATCACTATTAAAAAACTACTTATAAGTTACTTATAAACTGTTTCAAACGGGTCCTGAAAGAGTCACTTTTGCTTCAGTGCTAATAATCATTCATTTCAAATTAAATACCACAGTAATGATAATTGTAGTGCCAAATTTATATAGCCAATTAGGAACCCCTCAGGACCCCTTTATTTCCCTTACTCGATCTTTGCTCCCCTCTGTATGTATTTAAATTGTTTATTACAAGTTCAGTTATATTAGGTTGAATTTCAAAGGGTGTGTGTGGTGGTGGGGGAGTTCTGGTCTTCTGGGTCTTCACTCCACGAAATGTTGCTGAGTACTTTTCTTTAGTTACTGATTATATTTCTTTCCCGAGATCCAAGCAAAAGGTCCTACCAAGCACCAGTGTTTCACTCAATGTCCCGCGAACCAGCGTGACCCATAGTCGAGTCTGTGAAAAACACATTAACTTGATTTCTATAATCTCTCGCGCGTCCAATCTCAACCGCGGAATTAAGTTTGTGTGCACTCAAAAATATCTGAGAGAGCAAGGTAGGAGTGGGACAGTTTGGTCTCACTTGATCAGAATAGGAAAACAGTAACCAGACATTGGAGCTTCCATGTCGTTTTGGGTTTGTTGTTCGCTTGTAGTTTTCTGCTGTTTGTTCCGACTGCATCAATCTTTATTCCGTATTATCGGTCAAAGGAAAAAGTAATCATACCCACTAATTGCTTCATTCACAAACCTTTTCGTACCAGAGAGACTGAATTGTTAAGGGGTTGGGGCTCTTAATGCATCTTCACTTATGTACACCTCTTAAAACCATGCGTGTCGCACATAAATTGAACTAGGCAGTGGCCAGTGGCCGTGGATACATGTGAAAAAGGCACGCCCTCCGCAATTAGTATTTAATTACAAGTACGTAATAATTGATCTATTATCCGTTGCTTTTTGTTATTGGAACACCAAATGCCCCCCCAGGCCGATGACTTGAGATGAAAGCAACGAAACAATCAGATATCAGTACCCCCACGGCGGATAAAGATCGATCACGGACCTGCTTCCACTAAAAATAAAATATTTTTATAGATTCGAAAGCATCGCGATTCTATATAATCCGCACAACTCCAAATATCGGGTGACTCGTGTCATTTAAAAAAAAAAATATTATTAGATTTTTTTAAAGGAGAAAAGGGCACTTTTTTCTACCAAATATATGATATTACGATATTACTCCATGTTTAATATAAGATATAGTTTTTAGTTCAATTTAAATTACAGACTATATTTTATATTAAGTGCCTGTTTGGATTAGCGGTGAACAACTGTAATTTTAGATAATCGTAAATTTTATAAGTGATGCTGACTATAAGTGACACTGGTTAATCGTGATTTCTGTTTGGATATTTTTTTTATAAGTGATTTTAAGAATTGTGATTATGTTTGGTTTTCATTTATTAAAATCACTTTTGGGTGTATAATTACTAAAAAGGACATGAAGTTAGTCAAGTTGTTTACATTTTCATAATTATTATATTTAATAATAAATTTTATTAAATATAATTTAATAAATGACATGAATATTTAAATATTATTTTTATTATTTAAAATCACTTACAAAATTTATGTGTAGTACAAATGTTAAATAAAAGACCCCATATAAGAAAAAGCAATCAAAAGGAATCAAGAAACAATCACAGGTATTCAAGACGGTCATTCGCAAGACGCATCGTGAGGATTGGAGATTGGAAATTTGTGACAATAAGATGAGTGAATTCTGACTTGCATAAAGAAAGTGAACAAATAAGGAAGGAAAAATACCTTTTGATTGCTTGATTGATCCAAGAAGGCGAGATGACGGCCTTTTAAGAAAAAATTTGAAGTGGTTTAGCCGTTTAGGTTGAAAAATTGTAGGCAAAATATATGGAGATAATATTTTAAGAGAGATTTTTGAAAGAGTAAATGCAGAGATATCATTTTAGATAAAATAACAATAATAAATATAAAAATAAGCTGAAAAATTATTTGTCATCGTTATTTTCTTAATTTAACAATGCTCCTCGAATTAGAATATGTCTTGAATATTTGATTACGTTGTTTCAATCATATGTCATCCATTATCTGATTTTTTTTAAAAATGTCTTTTAGATAAAATTAAAAGAAAAACAGTTTCATATTGTATGTTTTAAACAAAAAAAATTAAAATAATTACCATTAGAATTAGGGGTAGATTGGAGAAAATTTAGTTACTAAAGATTCATCGGGATTTTTCAAACGCATAAGCTATTTCTTGTTGCTTATCCTAAAAGTGTGGTGGAAGATTAAAATCACAATTTATCGGGATTCTATAAAAATTATCCAACCACCCTAAACATGCTTTATAAGCATTTATTTAAATTTAAATGGGCTTATTTGATATCCTACCGCTTAACCAAACAGGCTCTAAGTGGGTTTTTAGCGTTATGCGCGACTTTGCATGTGTCATAAATAATTCTAGTGAAGATATTTTTTTCAAAAAATTCTAAAAAATACTTATTCAATTTTAAAATTCTAAATAAGAAATTATCACAAAAATGAGTTATTATTTGCTTTTCAAATATAGTCAGTTGCTATTAAAGTATAGTAAACAAGACTTATTTAAAATTTTAAAATTCAAGAAGCATTTTTCTGAGATTTTTCCTTTTCTTTTTGCTGGATCGGATCATATATGCAGTGAGAATTAACGATTAACTATATCACTATCTTAATGATTTATCAATTAAATGGATATAGGCCCCGTTAAAGTTGAGGGGAAATTATTATCTCATCCTGATCTCAACTCTAATACCTACTTTAAATCAATTTAATGATTTCTTTATTTTCGGTTAAACGTATATTTGCAGTCGATGGAGTGAGTGTGTTTTTTATCTCTTAATTTGGGCATTTTAAGCGGGCACTTGTTCGATTTAGCAGCCACGTGACCGATAATATATATGGTTTGATCAACGCCGATTTAACAAGTAGACGATTTATTAGATTTATGGGGGGCAATAATTCAGAAGGAAAAAGATGATAAGTTAAATATATTCTTTATTAAACCAAGTTATATATATGAAATACAAGCCTTGACAATAATATTTCAGTCAACAGATTAAAATTAGAGGAAACAGAATTGAAAAGGGGATATGTGAAATGAGATGGTTGGTGAGATGTTGTCATTATTGGGTCACATGCCCTGAACTCCTTCAATTACTCACAGGTCACGACCCATGATGACCACCAATTTCTTTAATTTGTCACAGAGTGTAATAATAATGATAATAATAATAATAATAACAACGATAATAATAACAACAACAATAATTAGTCAGCTATATATGGTGCTTGCACCAATGAATATATAATTTATGTGACTGGATGCAACTCTTGACGAACAACTCATGCGACTCATGGCATATCAATAATGTGCTTTACTATATTAATATATTCACAATAGTTTTTTAAAAATGACTATAGTAACCAAAAATTTGAAAAGGAAGGGGGAAAAAAAGGCTCAAACGTGTCAGGGGACAAGTATAGTGACGTGG